AGGGGGAGGGGGAGAGAAGGGGGAGGGGGAGAGAGGGGGAGGGGAGGAGGAGAAGGCGGGAGGGGGAGAGAAGGGGGAGGGGGAGAGAAGGGGGAGGGGGAGAGAGGAGAAGACAGAATGTACCTTTGGGGCCTGGCTCTCCTCTCAACCCTGGGGTGCCCGGGTACCCCCGCTCTCCTTTTTCTCCAGACGGTCCTGGGCCGATGGCCTGAATTACAAAAGAGAAGGTCACAGCGGTGCAGGGGAGTGGCTGGGCTACACGCCAGAGCAGGGCAGACAAAGAAACTAACACGTCTCCAAATCATCTCAAGAAAGGTGAGAGGGAAGAAAGAGTAGTGGGGGCGTGGGGGGGGCTCGTGAGAGCACAGAAAACGGACCCCCCCGGCCCCCTCCCCGCCAGGGCACTCTGCCGCAACTGTGCTTCCTCCTGTCGTAACTGGCCTGCAGCAGCTCTACCCGGGAAGTAAAGCTAGAAAAATATTAGTTCTGAGGTTTTGGTTTAGAATTTCTAACTCTCCATACGAACCAAAAATGAATAGTCTACTTTAAAGAGTACTGTCACAACACCCTTACGTTTCCCCAGGCGGTAAGTAACAGGAACGTGCAAATTTTTCACTGGAAGAGGTTTTCTGTTGTGTTGGTTTTTTTTTTTTTTTTTAAATGGTCCAAAGCGGGGACTTCCTCAAGGATGTAGGGATACAGGCCAAGAAGAACACACTACAAAGGAGTGAACTGGTGAGCACAACAACTCTAAATCACAGAAATTTAAGGAAAATGACAAAATCAAGTATTGCAGATTGCCCTTAAAACAGAGTTCCTTTGTAGCAATTAACAGATGTTATTAAATTCTGCTGATGCAGTTACGATGCAAACAGGCCACTCGACCGTGGCTGCTAGATACAGAAAGGGGGTCCTGCGTCTGCAGGAAGGGGGTTCTGGGCTTCCCCGCAGCCATCCAGGTCCTGGAAGCGCACCCCCAGGAGGAATCATTCACGGCTGCACACCCACGGGGCGCAGGCGCAAACCACCACGGGGCACGCGCCATGGGCAGCCAACGAAACAACAGTAACCTTTCCATTGTTCCAGAGAAGATCTGGGACAAAATGGGTCAACCAGCTCCAGCACCCCTCTCTGACAGGACACCGAAGAGGGCCGTTCCAAGATAACTTGCAAACGTGAAGAAGGTTCATTTTTACAAAGGAAAAAAAAAAAAAAACACTACAAACACCGATTGCCCCCACATGTAAAAATACGCACAGGGGCAAGTAAAATGCTATTTGCAGACATAAAACCTGTTTTGCTAGGGAGAGCCAAATTATGGATGATCGGTTTAACATTTTCCTTAATGGACCATTTAAAAAAAAAAAGTTTCAAAATGTTTTGCTCCTATTGTTACCAAAAAACAAGTCTTTTCATTGTCAGTGGTTGAGGAAATGCAGAAATTATCGAAATATAATAAAAAGTAAGTACCAAACGCCCCACAATACAGAATATAAGTTTATGATTTTAAGTAACATGCACCCTCTATACACACAAATGTCATTCTAGGAACACCATGGGGCACGTGGCCCCAGCCCCCGACCGACTACCAAACAGCACTTTTACTCACAATTCCAGGTGGGCCTGGAGGACCTGCTTCACCTTTGTCTCCCTACAAAAGAAGAAATACTTGTATTTTTCGACTAGACAGATTGTCTTGCAGAAAGCATGGTTCAACTTTCTGTCCCGGAAAAATAAAGACTGTGCCCACTTCCACTAAAGTTATTTTCCTCTCCTAAGTAGCCCTCACTGTGAGGGGCTGAAAGTGCTCTGTACCTACTAAACCAAAAATGAATGCACGTCCATCTGCTTTCTGTAAGGGTGATGCATGGAAAGAAGGATTTCTGCAAATCATAATGGAGAGTCTAATTGTTCACATGACAAAGCCGCCCACAAGGTCTGTTATGTTTGATGGCATGCTCCCTTGGGCAACGCAAACAGAATCACTGCTAAGCTGAATTAGTATCTGGTGTTTTTTCAATAAAATGAAAGTAAATGGAATGAAAGCTTTTGATTTCTAAATATAGTTTCTTAAAGAAATCATTTTACTAGCGGTTTTTATGTGTAAGGTTGTCTAAACCTGCAACTGAAAGTCATAATAAAAGGATATTCATGGTTTCATCTTTCCCCCTAAAATCCAGCATTACATGGGGTGGATAAATTCTAATCACTTTGAGGCTTAATTTCATTCGTATTAGAAGAAAAACCCAAAAGAATTTATCCTGTTATGTCTACTGTTTTATATAAGCCATCAAAATAACCTTTAAAAGTCCTTCCATGAATGCAGTTTCTCCCCTTTAAATAAACCAAAGCAATACACTTAGCAGCAAACCAGCATTAGATGTTTTGATTTTTCTGATTTGAATATGAGACTTTAGAAGTATCTGTGGGACTTAAAAAATATCTTAGCTAATATATCCTAAACATACTTACCTTTTAAAATCTACAAGATTTGACTTTTTCAATAAAGTTACAGTGATCCGTAAAGGATCTTTCCCTTCCTGCCTGGCTTTCATGAACAAGCGCTGAAGTCCCCTCCCTAGTTTATGAGTCACTGCTGGAGATGCTATCCCAAAGCTATTTATGTTAGCGGAGATTTACGTTACCTAGTCTTGTATCCATGAGTTTTTTCTGCCTATCACATTGACAAATATTTTATAAAGTTTGATAACAAGCAGTTGCCCAAAAAAAGGGCACTGGGACAGAAGGATGTTCTTTTCTAGGGGCAATTTGGCAGCATATGGTGAACATCTCAAAAAAAAAGGGGGGGGCGGAGTCTAAACATTGACCCCAAAACTACACTTGTAGGAATCCATGACATGGAAATGATCAGACAAGTGAACACAAGTATTTATACTCGTAAGTGTGTGGCTGTGACCCACATACGCACAGCACAAGGCGTGGACACAGGATGTCCCGTGTCAAACGCATCCACGCCACGTCATTAAGTGAGGAAGCAGGACGCACCGCACAATCCCCATTGTTTTAGAGATGCGTGTGTGGGTGCACACACAGGACGGTGGTGCATTCTGACCACTTCTGAGCAGGTAACAGGAAAATTAGACAAGCTTGTTTTCTTCATTCTATCTGCATTTTTTATTGTTTCTTAACCAGATGAAATTCGTCTACTACAAAAGAGACATGAGTGGAACATTTTATGTTCCTCTTAAAAAAAAAAAATCACACGCATAAATAAAACCACAAAATTAAGTCATGTGTTGCTCATAGGGATGTCAATCACTTTTATTATCTGAGTCCACGGTGCTTTCGGAGACTGATCCGCAGACTGAAGGCAAACCTTCTGCAGTGTCACCGCTTACCTTGAAACCTTCGCGGCCTGGAAGTCCCGGGTACCCCGCGTCGCCTGGGAAGCCCTGCAGTGGGACACGGAGAGCACCCCCTCGTAAGCGATAGTCAAGGCAACAGTTTGCTTTTAAAAATTACAGAAAAATACTTACTGGACTCCCTTTTTCTCCTTTTTCGCCATCTTTTCCAGGTTTTCCCTGTACAATAAAGATGGAGACATCAGTATTTCATGAAAGCAATAATAAACACTCCCCAACGCCCAGGCCAGGAACCTCTGCATGGGCTGACAAAACCACAGGAAGGAGAAATGCAGTCTACGTGCAGCAACTAGGAACATGGGACAGCAGAAGCGGACTTTTCAATGTTTAAACAATGGAGCCTGATGAGCTCCAAATCTCCTAAGGCAAGCGTTCTATGTGGCCACACAGTGAACAGTAGAGTTTTCCGAATGGCAAGGGTCTGGTAGCTGATATGCAGAGGATTCGTTTTAATGGAGGGTTCCCGCATCACTGCAGGGTGGGAGCTGGAAACCAGCGGGTGGAGCTCCTGTCACCAGGCTTCGGGGGCAGGGGGCAGTTAGTCTGAGCATCTCAGCTCCTGACCTCTCAGAAAGCATCAGAAAAGGGCACAGAGACTCTCAATGAGGAGCCAGCAGGTGGGGGCCTCTGCAGAGAGACCCCGGCCCCAGTCTCCCTGAGAGGACTTTCAGATGGAGGCGGCCTCCTCATTCCTGCTCGCAAGGGCTCCGGGAAAGCCCACAGGAGAGGACAGGGAGAAACCGAAGAGCCCTACGAGCCTCTTCCACTCCTGTTTCTGTAAACCTGGGACCCGAGGAAAGGAAGGAACGTGCTTTTACAGTAAAGAGCAAAAGGACGAGCCACTTACTCGGGGCCCTGGTCTTCCAGGCTCCCCTTTCTCTCCAAGCCCTGGCATCCCCTTGAAAGAACAAAAGGAAAGCTTTGTTAGGGTATTTAAGTAAAATATTAAATTACGTAAATATTACATTGAAGGTGAATAAGTTTGTCACTTAAATCCAATACTTTATGAACATTCACACAAAATAATGATAAGCAAGAATTGAGTACTTACCTGAAATCCAGGTTCACCTTTCTGACTTGCT